GCACCACAAATTCTCTTGCAAACAACACAAACATACGGGTAGAAATCATATTTCAATCCAAACTAATGCTTTGGGATAAATTACTAGTTAATGCTATCTACTTTTTTTACATGTACCTAGCAGCGGTTCCAATTACAAGCAATGCGAAAGCAAGTTCTCCAATCTCGCAATGATTGCAAGTGCTTCCACTGAAAAGGACATTAAAAAGACTGAAAGCAACATACAGCTTCTCAATTTATAAGCAAAAAACCACAAGTTGTCCAAACTTTTTATTGATTTCACTATCAACCTAATCAATGCAACCACCTCAACCAAACGAATCAAACATATCAATGTAAGAGAAATAAAACTAAGAAATTAAAAAACAAAGAAGTCCAATTATAAAATAATAGTAAAGAGCATAGTATACCAGCCTTAACAAGCGCATCCCAAAGCTCCTCAGGCAAAATGCACCCATTGTGCTCCACATCAATAGCTTGGAAAATCCTATAAAGTTCAAGCTCCTTATCATCCATATACCTCTTAAACTCGTGATAATCCACGCGCCCATCTCTGTTTGCATCACAAACTTTCAACAGATCTTTGGCGTACTTATACTCAGCCGGAATCTGCAAAGCAGAGAGACCCTTTTCGATCTGGGCATAATCCAAATTTCCCACATTGGCTGCATCAAAAAAATTGAACAAACTCCGAATCCTCAAGTCCCTTTCCTCCTTGGTCTCACGTAATGCTAAAAGAACATGATCCATTGAGACAGGTCCGGGTTTTTTGACCGGGTTGCAGCATCCGGGTTTGGACTTTGCCTCCATTTTAGGCAAGCCTACATGCTCCACAGGCCCTGCTGCCCCAGACATAACAAGAAAAAACGACAACGTTTCAAACTACCTCGGCAAATTTCACCTATTTTTCCGCGAATGCTGTGCCTTGGGGTTGCTCTTCTTTTCTGCAAACATGGAGAGTTGGAAAGAAAGAGATCTGTCGTATAAGATTGGGAATAAATAAATAACATAAAAAGCGCCCCTTGTTTTCTTCTGTTTTTTGAGGGAGAGTAATATACCCAATAATCAAATAGGGGGAGGATCCAAAAATTTGACTCGAACTAGCGAGAAAAAGAGGACAAAAGATGCAGACTTTTCTTTGGTTAGAGAAGAGAAGGTCAAAAAGAAGGAAAAAGGGAGTCAAAATCCCAAAGGAACAGGCTTATTACATCAAATAAATGACCTTCATTCAAAGGTTTATTAATGGGTTTTCATTTTTCCTTCCGGGATCAACCCATCGTAGAAGCAATATTAATAGCAGATTTAAAGAAGGAAAAGGGAAACCAGCGGTTCCAAGCAAGAACATGCGGGTGAAAAACGGAAGGTAAGGAGAAGGAAGAGATCGATTGTTAAAGTGATTACAAATTGGAAAAATACACGTGCAAGATTATTGAAGGTAGAAGAAGGGTGTGGTTCCAGAGAATGAGATAACACGCCTTGGCCTCCAAGCTCTAGATCTTCCAAGCTCCTTTTTGTGGGCTTTGAGCCAAGTCAATAGTCAGAAACACAGAGATTAAATTTCTGGGCTCCGTTTGGTTTTTTCTTTTAACCTTGCTCTCTTCCTCTGTCTACGGTGATTCAAGGAAGAAGAGGCTACTAGAGGGAAGAAAGAAAGATATTTTATCTCATCTTTTCATTTTTAATTTTAAATTGATTAATTACGAAATGTCTTTTTTTTTTCTCTCCTTAAATTTGGCTGGGGAATGGCTGTGCCTACTTTTTGCTCCTGCCTTGTTTGGAAATTTCGCTATTCCTCTTTTTTATCCAAGTCTTGAGTAAATCTCAACTAAGATTTTCAACATATTTTTAATTTATTTTTGTATATATAATATTTTTAAAACATTATTAAATAATTTAAAAAATTTTTATATATTAAATTAAATTTATATATTTTTATTTTAAAATAAATAAATTTATATAATTAAATTAATTAATTATTATTAATTAAAATAATAATATTATTTTTATATTTAATATAACGTTAACATAAAAAATAAAAAATATTATATATATATTCACACATGAATTTTACATTTTTATTTACTATAACATGTTACGTTAATAAAATAATAAAACATAAAATAACAAATTAAATAAATATTAATTAATTATTAATTATAAAAAATTATTTAACATAAAATAAAAATATAACAATTTTTATTTTATAAAAATTTGCCGAAAATTTTTTTGAAGTATTATATATATTTTTTCATCCAAAAGTGCCTTTAGGAATTGATATGGGCTACTTGCTATGGATCAAAAGTTTTTCGTCACAGTAGGATAACCTTTTGTGAATTTTTTTTTAACCATTATAAGGTGCCAA